TAATAACCTCTATTACCGATCCGTTTGCCTCCAGTTTCCAGTTTGGCGCCCTCTTTGACCCCACTTTCGATGAGTTCAAGTATTTTGTTGAGTTGTTGGGCATTCACTTGCGGGCCCTGAACTGTCTTCGTGTTGAAGGGGTCGCCCACCACTCGAGCGGCCGCTACTTCAGCGCTCTTCTTCACGAACTCGTCGTATATGCCCTCCTGAACGAACGTACGACTGCCCGCACAACATACCTGTCCATTGCATACATACACCGCGAAGTGCGCCAAATGGACGGCTTCATCGACGTCCGCGTCGTTGAACACCACTAATGGACTCTTTCCGCCCAACTCTAGGGTTACGCTCTTTAGGTTTGATTTTCCCGACGCCTGTTGTATGAGTTTACCGACAGCTGTAGAGCCTGTGAATGTGATTTTGTCGACATCCATGTGCTCTGATAGGGCTGAACCAGTGATGGCTCCATAACCGCAAACAACATTGAAGACTCCCGACGGAAACTCTGCCTCTTTGACCAAACTTGCGATATATAGAGCGCTGAGAGATGTCTGTTCCGCTGGCTTTACGATAACTGTATTGCCGGCCGCCAGTGCCGGACCCATAGTCTTAGCCAACATAATGACCGGTGAATTCCAGGGGATTATTATAGCACAGACACCCTTCGGCTCTATTCTCGTTATAGTAGTTATGTTTCCATCTTTAATACGATTACAAATACAGTAAGTTTTATGAAAACAATTATATGGGTTAGACATTGAGAGCACCTGAAGGAATGGTCTTTCCCTGGATCTTGTCAGTCCAGCCCGCATAGTACCGGATCAGTTGGACAGCGAATTGCATCGAGTGTTTGGTATCATTAATAGTCAGCCCATTCTCTAATGTATCCAAACTCTGAAAATAATTTAAACAAAAAATTATTGAATATTTTTATACTTTAATACAAATCCATTGCATTCATACAGCGATATATTCGGCATCTCTTTCCATGAGATCCGCCAACTTCTCCATAAGTCGTCCTCTCTTTGACGCATCCATTGTTCTCCAATCGGATCCCAATTCAAAGGCCTTTTGAGCCACTTTGACGGCCAGATCCACATCATCCCTGTCCGCCTCCTGGATCTCAGCGATCACATCGCCATTCGATGGATTAATAGTCGGAAATCGTTTTCCATTAATTGAATCCCGAAATTGATTGTCAATAAAAAGTTGAGTGTATTTTATTTGTGGCTTTTGGACAGACATCTCGCTCTTGTTTTGTGTGGACTCCTTAGTCATGCAAACGTTGTCTCCAAATGGAAAGTAAAACAATTTTTGCACTAAACATCTGTAATCTTCGGTTAAGATCTTCGGAATGAGTTTCGTGTTAAGACATTAAAGACATTATTTTCCCCATAAATAAACAAATGAAGTGATGCCACGACTAGTGAATGCAATTTCTTGTAATAATAAGTTCTTTCACTCGTATTTTGATGTCTATCTTAACTATTATTAACAAAAACTTTTCATTAGAGAGTGTTCAGGCTTTGATATTAAGCGATATAAGATTCAAAAATCTAATTAGAGTTCAGGTTTTAAATTTTTATTACTCGGTGACATTTAATATATGATTATTTTTGTTATTTTTAAAATATTTTTAGAGAGTGTTCAGGCTTTGATATTAAGCGATATAAGATTCAAAAATCTAATTAGAGTTCAGGTTTTAAATTTTTACGACTCGGTGACATTTAATATATGATTATTTTTGTTATTTTTAAAATATTTTCTTTCAAATATATTTATAATTATATTAAATTCAGTATTTGAAAATTATAAAGTTAGATCATTTGAATACAGTACTGTACTGTATATCAAAACTTATATAAAATTAGAATATGAGAATGGCACATTCATTTACTAGACATTGCATTTATACCCAGATTATAATCATTAAAATATATATGTATTTTAGATATTCATTAAAACACACACTCATAACTCAATACTAGTTTGAAAAGTCTTATTTGCATTGAATATTGAGTGCGTGTTTTAATCATTAAAATTTAATGAGTATTTTAGATACTATTGATGATCTGGATATACTGGTACAGTAAATGCAATGTCTAGTAAATGAATGTGCTATTCTCGTAAGGTATATATAATAACTTTTTATGCTTTATTTAAGCTAAACTTTAGTAAGTTATATTAATATAATTATAAATTAATTAGAAGCTATAACAATATAACTATTATTTATATACAATATAGTAAATTATAGTTAGTGTTTAATTATATATTTTTATTTTGTCAAAATGTTTGAGTTTATCATAAATTATATTCACAAGAATTTTAATTTTATATGAATAANCAATGTCTAACCCATATAATTGTTTTCATAAAACTTACTGTATTTGTAATCGTATTAAAGATGGAAACATAACTACTATAACGAGAATAGAGCCGAAGGGTGTCTGTGCTATAATAATCCCCTGGAATTCACCGGTCATTATGTTGGCTAAGACTATGGGTCCGGCACTGGCGGCCGGCAATACAGTTATCGTAAAGCCAGCGGAACAGACATCTCTCAGCGCTCTATATATCGCAAGTTTGGTCAAAGAGGCAGAGTTTCCGTCGGGAGTCTTCAATGTTGTTTGCGGTTATGGAGCCATCACTGGTTCAGCCCTATCAGAGCACATGGATGTCGACAAAATCACATTCACAGGCTCTACAGCTGTCGGTAAACTCATACAACAGGCGTCGGGAAAATCAAACCTAAAGAGCGTAACCCTAGAGTTGGGCGGAAAGAGTCCATTAGTGGTGTTCAACGACGCGGACGTCGATGAAGCCGTCCATTTGGCGCACTTCGCGGTGTATGTATGCAATGGACAGGTATGTTGTGCGGGCAGTCGTACGTTCGTTCAGGAGGGCATATACGACGAGTTCGTGAAGAAGAGCGCTGAAGTAGCGGCCGCTCGAGTGGTGGGCGACCCCTTCAACACGAAGACAGTTCAGGGCCCGCAAGTGAATGCCCAACAACTCAACAAAATACTTGAACTCATCGAAAGTGGGGTCAAAGAGGGCGCCAAACTGGAAACTGGAGGCAAACGGATCGGTAATAGAGGTTATTATGTGGAGCCGACCGTCTTCTCTAACGTGAGGGACGACATGCGTATCGCTCGCGAAGAGATCTTCGGACCCGTCCAACAGATCATTAAATTCAAGACAATGGATGAAGTGATTCGACGCTCTAATGACACGATCTATGGATTGGGTTCAGGAATAGTAACCAAAAGTCTGGATAATGTGTTCACATATTCTCAAGCCGTCAAAGCGGGCACTGTTTGGGTGAACTGCTATTTCGTGGTCACTCCTCAGACACCTTTAGGTGGATATAAGATGTCGGGCTTTGGCCGAGAGTTCGGTGAAAATGCTTTATATGAATACACAGAGGAGAAGACTATCACTATAAGACTGGTTAACAAGAATTCATAAACATTTTGCTGTAATACCTAAAAAGGCATTGAAACACACTTTAATTATAATACCTGTAGTAATGAATGATTAAATTTAAATTAAAACACTGTATTAATTAATTAGTAAATTATGTAGAGAATCAAATACTGTATTGTTTTATTTACCAGTATAATACAAACTATTGATTCATATTCAACACATTATTGTAGGCTTTATTTGTTAGACTAGTATTGAATTATTAAATTCAAATTAATAAATGTAAATGTCAAATTCATTAAAACTCATTTTTGATAAAAATAATTGTCATATGATGAAGCAAACAATAGCTAATAATGCGATCAAGAATTTCAAATTAATATTCAAATGAAAGACAGAATCCAAGTATTAGTATTTCATATACAGTAGAAAATCAATTATTAAATAAACTTTATTGGAATTATTATTTGTTTTTAATTTTTATTGGATTAAGAATTTATCCATTTGTATATCCTAGAAATTATTAGCAAAAATATTTGAGTCAATGAAAACATATTCATGAAAAGTGGTGTTTTTGCTACTATTCCTATCAATCACTATCTATTGATACACTTGTCCTCCAATTCATTGATATTAAAGTTAGTAAACAATTTGTGGATAAGATTTGTGTAATTATTGCCAATAATTGTTATGAAACTAAAGTAAGTTTGCACTCAAATCAGTGCTTAATTTACGGTTAGAAACAGTCATTCAATGGATTTCGTGTTTTATAAATCAACGAAAAGTTTGCTTTAAGTTTGAATCGCTTTTGGAAATCATAGTAAATTGTAATTAATTTTAAATATTATATTCATATTAATTTAATATAACTTTATTTCTATAAATAAAAGAAAAACTTATACTTTTCAATTGATTTAAAAGTTTTGATCAGTGAATGGCTTACTGTATCACTGATTAAAAACTTTTTAAAAAACTTTTAATAAATATATTTTACAAAATGTTAATTAAAAACTTGCTTGTATAATTTAGTGCATACTTTTGAACTAAAATAAGTTATACGTGAAAATAAGTTGTGTTTTTGCTTTGCATGCAATCGATTCTGTATTGAATTCTATGAAAAGTACAGAATCTGTACAATAGTTGTCTCTATAATAGTCTCAAACAGATGTCACTTACGTCTGAAATGTTAGCAAAAATCATGTGTTTTTCAAACATTGAAAAGTGAAACCTTTGTCGCAGTTGTGGTTAATTACAAGAAGTGGTGATAATCGCAGTCATGTCCGACGACGAGATCAGTTATGTTAAGCGCCAGAAAATCATTCATTACGGCAGTCTTGAGGACAAAGAGAGGGACAG